TCAATCTTTAGTCATCTAAACTTGTGACTGATTTATTGTCTTCCTGTAACAGAAGTTCCAACATCACCAGTGTTCTCCTAACCCACTTCTAGTAGTGATTTATCAGAGACCAATACAATGGTCTCCTTGGTATGTCTGTCTCCTATCAGGCAGTAACAAAGAATTTACAGTCAACCAGTTTACCTAGCCTTTGCGCTGCTAAAGCAAAGGAAACTGAATTTTTCTTTAGCTAAAAAATTGCAGCCTAGGAGTAAGGGAGAGGGAAAGGCCTTTCATAGGTGTGGCCCTCACCTTTCTAGTCAAATAATTAATGAAGCAGTCTTTTTGTCAAGTGTTTTTCCTCATGACATGTGAAAGACTATGTTGCAGATAGAAGTAAGGGCCCAGTCACCGATTTGTATAAAGTATTTTTATGAATGATAGTCTGTAGACTGTGTTTTTCAGTGTTTATCTCTCTCTAGTAGTGCAGCAGTCAGGTCTTCCAAAACAGAATTTCTGATTAACGCCGTAAAAACCAGCTGGCAATAGAGACTAGAAGTTCTTCACAGCATCCCACTGCAGAGACTGGGACCAATGCCTGTAACTTGGTGGGAACCTTCTGTCTCTTGACTACAGTGAGCTTGGTGCTGTTTTCATGCCATAAGCAGAGAAGGCTTCCTTGAGCCTCTCATCCTGCAGCACAAACCAACCAATGGAGTATTAAATGTGAAAAAAAAAAAAATCCTTTTGCTATAGTAAATCTTGCAGCGTTCACACAACTGGACATGGAAAAATTGGGCTAAAGAAGCAGACATGAACAAGAAATCTTACCTTTGCGTAGATAATGTGACAAGCGGCTACTGTCCAGAGTAGAATGGGGGAAGGCATTGGTTTATGTCCTGTCCCCGAGTGCACCTACAGGCTCTGTAGGTGTTTGGCTACCTGGCTGAGGGCCAGCTCTGGTACAGTACAGCTCTTCAGCCTTGGAGCAGACTCATGTGAGAAAGAGCTGTTGTCAGAAATACCTTGTGGGAAGCTCTGTTGTGGCCTCACACACTGTGACTGGGAGTTGCTGTTAGGTTCAGGTCCTTGCCCTTGGTCCTTGTGGATACCAGGTCCTTTGTGGATACGTGTGTGCCAACCAGTGTATCTCCCTCCCTGCTCCTGACCCACTGACTTGACTTTTAGGGGCTTGATCTTACACCTGCATGGTGATCTGGACTTCTGGCTGACCATGGTTACTGTGAGTGGACCTGCTTTGCTCTCCTCACTTGGATTCTGTGGGAATACAGCACATTTCAGTGAGGCCACAGCTTCCTGCTTACCTTGTCGACACCCTTGGCTCTCAGCTTGCCTTTCCTCTTGGAGCTGCACTTGCTGCTCCCCAACCCCTAAGATTCAGGGCAAAGAAAAATGTCACCTGAGATAATCTCGGTGCAAGATTGAGTCTGTCAGTTGTGGAAACTGGCTCTGGATGCAAGAGGTTTAATGCATCCTCCTTACCTAGTCCTGAGTCATGCTAAGTCCCAGCTCCCAAACCAATTTAGTATTAAATTTAATTCTTTTTATAACAAACCGACAAATTGGCATCACAGAAGAACTGCCTGGATTTCATTAAATGGATTAGACTGGCAGACACTTGTCACTGAAGGCGCTGCTCAGGAAAGGAGCTTACGTACTGGACCCTTGATCATCTTCATTGCTTAATTATTAGCTCCTTTTTTGCCCCTCTTGTGGACCACTCCAGAGAACTCTATTATCTGAGACAAGACTCCTGTGGAGGGTAAGGAGAGGAGTGTGAGCTCATCTGTGCTGTTGGGTGCTGGTGCCAGGGTTCAAGTATATTGTGAAATGCATAAATATTGTTTGCCAATTCCCCAGTAGGGGCTCTCAGATGATTTAGAAGCATCACCTAAATAAATTCATCAGATTGGATGTCTTCATGTGAAATCTTCCTGTCCTTGCAGAGTGGAAAAGTCTGCAGAGTGAGAAAACAAAGACTGTTAGCACAGTCAAAAAACACCGTAATACAGAAATCATCACAAAATTATGAAGGGGAGGTCTGCAAAATAATTTCTATGAGGCAAGGCGGAGTATTGGTCTGGAAATCTCCTTCTGTGCATTTTTTAACTGGCATTTGTGATACTTAATTTAAGATGTTTTTTGCTGTTTTGCTTTGGGTCAAATTAAAATTCACAGATCTTCATGTATTTCTGCTGTGATAGTTAAGGTTGTCTGAAAGTCTTTACACAGTCACCATCCACACTGGAAACCAATAGCCTTTATCTCCATTTTCTATGGATCTAAGACATTAGCTGCGCTTCCTAATTTTTCCTTATGTTTACATGGGGTTGGCCACAGACCCCCGTTCCTGCTGCAATTCCCTGAATCTCTGCTTTTTTGAGCCTGACTTTCTGCATGTCCATCATGTAATTAGAGGCAAGTCTGTGAGGGGAAACAATTTTCTCTCAGTTAAGGATCAAGCAGCATAATGTGCCTGGTTTTGGTGTAGTTTGTAAAGTAATACACAGGTGAGAAGTGTTGGGGTTAATCCTGAACATCAGTGTTCACATACCATTAAGAGTTACAGCCTTTAATACTTACTGTTGTTGTATGTTGGATATTCTTACCTCATTAATCTAGTTAAGAACTGACGGGTTATGTTTGTCACAGTTTTCAAAGGTAATTGAAATATTCTGAGAGTGACTGAAAAGGATCTTTTCACAACTGTTTTCATCTAATTTGTCTAGTCTGTTATCTCTGGGAAAGGCTTAGTAGTCTTCACATGGAACTCTTGAACACATCAGTCTATATCTATAGTTTTATCAAGATATTTGCTGTAAATGTTCAAAACTAAATAGTTAGCTTAGTAAGAAATCTGCGGTTTTTTACTGAAAGTAATGACTTCTGTATGCATTAATTTAAAATGCATTGTAAATTTAGGGTGAGGAGGTGGACAAGTCTCTATGTAGTGTTATGTGACAGTGCACAGGACAGAGAAGATGCAAAACCAAACTGGAACAGTCTGCTCGGTAGTAAGGCACAGCTGGAAAAGTACATTTATTTCCATCCTCAGATATACTGGAATACTGCTAAATTAACTCATTTATTGTAGATTTTGTATTTCATACACATTATTCTGTATGACTTCTGACAAAGAAATGTGTCATAGTCCTGTTAGCATTTTTCAATTCACCAATTTCACGTGATTGACCCTTGGAAGCATTATTTTCTCTCCCTCAGGTCTTTTCACAAGAATAAGAACAGGCAAAGCAGCATTAGTGCAGTGTTCTAGCAGAACTATAGAGCTTAGTAAACTTTCAGAAATTCAAAATTAATGAATTAAAACTCAACATAATTCTGAGTTAGGGGAAATTATAGATGGGGAAGTACAGGACATGTGATTTTCCAAGACCACGGAGTAGTGCCGTGGTGTCAGTAGAAGGTCTGAGGTCCCTCTCTGGGTTTAAACAACAAACCAATTCTCCTTTTTACTACGCTACACTGTCTGGCGTAGTAACCTCATGGCTTTTAAGCAAACGTTTTATACAGTATGCAAAATAGAAATGTAGATAAGTAGTCCTTTTTTAAATTCAAAATCACTAACAGTGGAAACTGTGTCTTGAAAACCGGTGATGACTCCTAGCTATCGCATATCTTCACAGGATGAAACGCGCTCTGGAACATAAGGGACTGGAACACTTTACAAGCCAGCGTTTCGGATCTCATGACTCCCCAGATGCTTTTTTGAGTGTGTTATTGCACTGCCCCCTGCGGTGTCTGGGCTGGTTGGGTCTGCTCTGGAGGCAAAGGAAGAAAACAAAGAAAAGGGCAGGAAAACGAAATAATTTTTTTTTTTTTTTTTTTTTTTTATCTAGGAGCAGATTTAGCTGCTGCTGGTCTGATTGAGCGGGGAGCATTTAATGCTCTAGGGGTACATAAAGGCAGGAAGAGCCCTCGCTGAGAGAGAAAAGAAAAAGCTCTTTAGAGGAAAGCCGTCTGAGAAATGACAGTATAGAACTAAAATAGAGCAACTAGAGGAAGGAAGTCCATGTCCTATATACACAGAAAGGGAGGGGGATCTTCCCCATAGTAACGGAGGGAGCAGGGGAGGAGGAAAAGGACAACGCAAACTGCAAAAGGCATTTTAACAAATTGTACAGAAAAGAGGAATTTGGAGTTTGCTCCTCTTCTCCACTTGCAGGGCCTGTGGTTTTGGTGTGAAAATCCCTTTAAAATATTTGCTTAAGCTAATAAAGTGAAGATGGAATATTTCTGGACAATTATAAGCGTTGTACTTCAGTATTTGTACTTAGTATTACAAGACTTGAAGCTTGGTTGTTAAAAGAAAGTTTCAGTTCTGTGGTTTACACCATGCATATGTTACTGTTGTGTACTTGTTATTATTAATATGTAGTTACAACACTGGCACTGGAATATGGACAGATTTTGCAATGTTATTTAATATGTGGAAGTTCGGTGCGGTGGTGTGTCTGTAACAGTCGCACTGGTGTCACGAAAGTAATCACTTGCATGGAAATCACAGGCATCCTGAAGGTTGAGCTTTTCTGATGCAGTTTTGCTGATGCACTGAGAATCTATTTTTGCTTTTTCCCCCCACTTATTTCTTGCACCCCCTTTTCCCTGGTTCACTCCAGCAGCAGTCACCTGCAGGACCCGCTGTTGCATCTCTTGCCAGGCAAATCCCTATTGGCAAAGAGAGCAGAGCCTTCAGCCTCAGAAACCTAGCACTGTAGTAAACCAAACCTTTCACAATGGATGTGAAACATCCTGTCCTCCTTCTGTTAGCACTTTTCCTTAATTTACAGTGATTACTTCTAATAACTAGCAAAGCAGTAACCAGTCCCAGTTTCGACTTCATAAGAGACTGCAGCAGTTTTTGTTGTTTAAAATATTTTACTCAAACGTTTGCCTTTCATGTTATGTGGGATGGATGATCTTTTTATTTAAAAATATCTGTAGCTCTTTTTGCAAAGACTGACAGCAGTGTCTGGTTTCAGGGTGGAATGATTAACTGGAATAGACTGTTTCCTCCTTTACGTCACAGACATAATGCAAATTATCAAGATCATCGCCCGTCTGAACAAGACATACTTCCACCTACCGAGGTTTCTGAAGAGCAGGTAAACATTTTTCTGTTTTAAAATGCCATTAAGAAACCGGCTAGGAATTACCTCTACAAATTTCTTACCGTCTGTTGACACAGTTTCTTAAACATTCTCTATAGCAGCACAAATTACAATATCAGAGGATGGTCGCAATACAACGACAGCAAATTGTCATTACCATCCAAACCAGAGTTACAGATCAACTTGGGAGTTTCTGCTTTTATGTGTAACTGTCTTTTGTACTGAAAGATGAGACAGTTTCACTAATGGGGCCTATTCAAATCTGATAAAATAAATGTTTCAGAGAACAAAGAATGACAAATAGATTTCATTATTTGTCTTGTAGACATGTAGGTTTTCCTTCACTGAGATCTCCAGCTTAAGTTGCAAATTTGGTCATGTAATTTTTTAGAAATAAGAATGTTATGCCCGCTGTGGACTGCAACACACACTTGGTCAAAACTTGGATGTTTCCCTCAATAATGGGTTGGCTGATTTCACATATCAATGCCACAGAGGAGTTTGTGTCTTTTCTACCAAAAGATTTAGACTTTTAGACTTTTGTTGACAGTTCTATTCTCAGAAGAGAGGATGATTTACTAGGAAATTTAAGAATTTAATATTAGTCTTCTTTCTGTATTCAGGATTTATTGCATGCAGTCAAGTTCTCCAGGTTGTAGTCTGTCTGCAGTTAGCTGCAGTGGCCATTTTATATAGTCTTAAGGTCTCTGCTACCCTTGAACATGAGGAGGTTTCAAGGGTGAGTTTTTCCTTCCCTTTATCCTTCTTTAGGGAAATAGATCAACACTTGCTAGCACCACGCTGTCATTTCTAGTCAGCTTAAAATGAGATTGTCCCAAACAGAAATCTTCACTCTGATCTGAATTCTAGTTTTGATTCAATGTTAGATTATGTTCAAAGCTGTAGCTGCACTGGTGGTTTTGACTGCAAACCTGCTAGGCTACCTCTCAAAAGGCAAAAAAAAATCCCAACAAAAGCCAACCAAACAAAAAAACAACCACCAAACAAATGAAACAAAACACAAAACCAAAGAAACCCACCAAGGAACACCTTCTGCACCTTCTGAGACAAAACCCAGAAACTTAGTTTTGGCCAATCTGAAAGCCTACTTAGTGCCAGGTATGGGGTGTACCAAAAGATTTCCCTGCTGGGTTGGTTGGTTTATTTGTTTTATTGACAAGTTCTGCTTATGGGAACTTTCATTGTTGGGCTGAAACTAATGAAATAGTTATTAGTCCGACTTATGCTGGGTTTTTACCCAAAGCCTTTAGGCCCAGGTTTATGAAAGCAATATATGCTTATATTTTCTTACACACTGAAGTTGTAGAGCTCACCTGATTGCTGACAATTGCAGTGCTGTCTAGTTACCCTGCAAAGAAAAAAGTAATCTAAGCACCTTTGATTTCTCAGCACTATACTAGTAACTGCACAAGTTGTCTTAGAATGGCAGAAATGCAAGGTTTTCTTCTGTTCTTCAGATTAAAATTTGCAAGCATTTGCAATGCTTTTGGTACAAAAATCTCTGCATTTCTTGTGGGTTTTTTAGCACCTTAAATTACCGTTACCGGTATACTTCTCTGTTTCCTGGAGCTGGATCCAGTTCCTGTGGTTAAAATATACTCAGATGAATAGAGCTTTTTGTTATTACAATCTATTCCCTGTGATGCTCGATGGATATTTCTGTAAATGGGAACATTTCAATTCTATCCACCACTTCTTAAGGTTAGAATTCATGGCAACTACGGTAAAAACGTTTCTTCTGAAATCTATTTTTGTGGTTAGCTTTTATTCCACTGCCTGCCCTTTTTCTCATAAAAAACACAACCTTAGATGAAAAATTAGACAGAGGAAACTTTAGAAAGTTACGGGTTATGAAATCCAGCTTGAAGTTACACACTGTTGTTGCAGAGGTGACGAAAGTAACAATTCATTTCTCTCTCTACAAGAAGGTGAGAAACTAATGTTGGTTTGTAAGGAGGAAGAAAGGGGAACGGCACAAAAATAGTCAGTACTGTATTTGATGTTCTGACAACCAAGGTAGCTGTTTTCAAACATTTTCTAACAGTCGATTTAGAGAATGAGGACCCCCACCTCCAGGCATACTTGGCAGCAGTGTATTTCTCAGTAAGCTGTCAAAGCAGAGAAGATTAAAGATACTAAAAGTTCTGGAGGCGTCTTGGAGGAAGGGGAGGTTGCTTTTAATGGCACCTTTCTTTTAAAAGGTATTTAAAGTACTTTCGATACTAGTGCATGTTGCTCTTGCACCCTGGGAAGATTCTTCCTGCGACGTAAACAGCCTCTGCTGCGTTCCCAATCGGCTTCGTTCTGCTGCTGCAGGCTCCATACAAGCAGAGGAGGAGCAGAGGTGGCTCCCAGATAGCTCCTGTAGCCCAGAACTTCCAGGTGCAGGAGCTGTGGTGTCTGGTCACCGTTTGGAGCAGGATGGGGAATGCTTGTTGCTGCCAGTGGCCACAGTTATTTTACATGCAGCCTCCCCCCTTCTCTAGGAGATTAAATATAAAAATCAATGAGTTATATTGTGACTTTCAGTCATACCTAATTGAGTATCGTAGATTTTAAATGTACTTTAGATTGGAATTTAACCATAAATTAAATTTGGTTATACATACATGGCTTTTTACATGTGGTGATTTAAGTGTCTGTTAGCACAGAGCAAAAAGGTCAGATGTCAAGTACATGATACTATAAAAAGAGATGTTGAAGTGGTTATTGATTACCAAAATCACTGTCTTAATATGCCTTTTTCCAGGGGGAAATGTCATTCCATCAAATGTCATTGACATACGCTGTTTTGAGAATAAGTAGAATCCTTCCAAGAACTGTACTGAACCCCTTTAAGTATTGTTCTGCCTCTGTTGTAGGGCTAACTTTCAGGTTTATTTTTAAAACCACCTAGAGTGAATGGGTTTGGTTTTTTAATGCCCTGAGGAGAAGTAGGTGTTTTCAAGGAAAGTAGAGCTAAGGAGGTCTGGACAAGTTTTCACGTTTGCTATAAAATTCCGTATTTTGGTCAAGAGTCGGGTTCTTGAGGTCCTATTCTTGTCAAGAGCAGCAAGCCCCAAGGTCAGATTGTAGCGTTCATGTGCGGTGCCACACTTTCTGTTTTACTCTTCTTTCAAAACTGGACTAGCTAGGAAAATACAGGTGTGGCATTTTCAGCAAACGGTTGGTTTTGAATAAAGTATCAGAAAGCAGTCATCTCTGTGGTAATGTTTTCAAGCACGCTGCTGTCCCAGATACGTCTTTGTGGCGGTGCATAGCCATGCTTGCTTACTCTCTGGAAAGGTAAGCTTTTGAACAGCCTGATCAGTGGAAAAGCGCTCTCTGACACTGTTAACGTGACTAATGCGCACACAGTGTGAATAGAACTCCAGTTTTAAAGCAGTGTTATGTTATTTCTTTTCCAGGTCGCACGACTTATGGAAATGGGGTTTTCCAGAGGAGATGCTCTAGAAGCTCTGAGGGCTTCAAATAATGACTTAAATGTAGCCACTAATTTTCTACTGCAGCACTGATGGTTTTCTGCGTGAAGGAACTTCACTTGATGGGTTTGTACACGTCTGAAAGAGGATCAAAGCCACCTGCTGGACAGACTCACGAAAGGTCGTCCCCACAAGAGCGTCAGCAAAGAAAAACTGGCCTCCGCGTGACTGGTGATTCAAAGTGATGTTAACCAATGACGTGAGCTGTTCCCAAGCCTTCAGATCACTTGGTGGTTTCTAGTCTGGTTATCCTTTTCAAAGTAACTTTAGTTTCTACTTATTACTGGATAACACCTAAATTTATTTTTAAAATAAAGTAGGTGTTTTCTTCTTGTAAATCCTTGTTAGTCATGTTATCAGACTTAATGACTAGGAAAAGAAGCTCCAGCAACCACAACAACTAGATCTACCTGTCAAGAAAAATCATATTTTCTTTCTTTGCCAGTCTAATTTCTCTAGCTTACATGTTATTTTACAGTACTTGATTTTTGACTACATTAATAAGAGGTTTGAAGATTACTTCACTTCCAACTCATTAAAACGTTATGGGACTACTATGTCATCCTTCAGGAAGTTTTATTAATGCCTGTAATATTTTATTTCTCAAATTCCTTTTTAAATAAAGTTGGCATTCAGCACATAATACACAGATAGGATGAGAGAAAATTCATGTGCGTATTGCAAGCTATAGTAAGTGACCACCGTAAATTTAAATTTTTACAAACTGAGTGGATAGCTATTCATATGCAGTTCATTAAGATACTCACTGGAAGCAATAACGGTGAATTGAAGGATACAGTACGATCAGAACTGAACTGATTTGAATGACTTTCATGTCTAATTCAGACAGACTTCTGTAACGATGGCTGTATGCTCAGTGTCCTATGTGCTGGTTTCATTTCTTGAGCTGGCTACATACTGTCTTAAATGAAAATGCTAAAAAGCTAACTTTTCTATATATAGTTCTAGTTTTCTACTGTCAAAGATGTGGATGCCCCTGCATTTGCTGAATCCTCACCATCTGAAGCAACTTACTGTTGATCACAGACTGGAACATTAACCTTAAGAGTGATTCAGGCTAACACAGGAGGTAACAGGACGCTAATGCCAAGGTAGTACAATATTGGTTTTGAAGTTTAGATTGATAAATAAACTTACTTGGCTTGACTCTCAGAAGTGCTCAGTATTAGCACCTTAGGAGTTTCAGGTGAGGTGGAGCGAGGTGAACATCTCTATAAAACCAAGCTGAAGTAATACAAGCATTCCAAACTGTGACTCCGTGAAACCAATCTACACATGTATTTAAGCATGATTTAAATCTCAAGCATTTAATGTATGTTTCTGTATGTACTTTTGTTTGTACATTGCTTGTATGTATGTGTCTGTTTATATACACAGAGGCATATTTAATACATACATACGTTTAGAATAAGATACAGGTCATCAGAAACATAGCAAAAGCAATAGCAGGTGCAAAGGGGAGAAGATGAAAGAATACAGGAGAGAGAAGGATGTTTTGAACATGCGAATGAATGTGAGTGTACCAAAGTACAGACCTGCACAGTCTCACTTGGCCTGGAAAATATACTGGGAAATTACAGGACAGGATTTAGGGAGAGGAAGATACCTTTCTTTTTTTTCCTTTTTTTCTTTTAATTGACTGGTAAAACTGAAAAAAGTCCTTCAGGCATACAAGTCCTTATCCAGAAATGACATGAAACTTGTGCAGCTTTTGGCACATGACATAATTTTTAATAAAGTCAATGTCCTGTATGTGTTTTTTAGTATTTTCCAGTGGGTGAAATGAGGGGGTTTTGGAATGACTGTGTGTTTTCCTGAGCTTTGATCAATCTCCTTCAGGTTTTGGCTTGCTGCTATGATCCATTTAGGCAGGGTCTGCTTTTTTTTCATTGAAAGGTTTTTTTTGTGTGAAGCTGTGTGGCTTTCTGTGTGTGTAGGCTAGGGACATTTCTGTGCCCCGAGAACTCTGGAAATGTGCTGTCTTACAAAGGAAAGGGCAAATGTAAAGATAAAAATACATAATATACATATACAATAATTTGTATATGTAAACTAGTTAAATGATTTGAAGCAAGTACGGGTTTTCATTTTGAAACATACAGATTCTTCCTGTACAAATATTTTATCAAAAGTAGCAATAAAGACTAGTGAATTACTTCAGAAGTCAAATTTTGTCCGTAGGAAATAAAGGCCCACCTAACCCAGGGTAAATTAAATCTGACCTGTGCCCTTTCAGACATTGCCCTGCTCTAGGGACAAGCACAATGAACATTTATTCCTTGGAATTTTAAAACATGTCGAGTGGCAGCCAGGACATGTAAGTGGATATTCTCAAAGTCTAAATCCTTTCTTACTATTAGCTGTACAAGGTGTATCCAAATGTCACAGTTGTGTGGAAAACCCCGTTTTGCTGGGCATTTCACGAAACATGGTCAAATATAAGGGGTAAAATTCAGGTCTGAGTGATGTCAGTTGAAAATTCCCCGTGACATCTGTGAGAACAGTTTTTGCTCAAAATGCTTCCAGGGTGATTGTGATTTCCAATTTAAGAAAAAAAAAAAAAAAAAAGAAGTGGTAAACGGAGAGGTCTCGAGTGCCGTTGAACATGGTTCCTGTTTTGTGCAAGAACCATAGAAGAAAGATTCACACATTAGAGCTGGAAAACAACTCAGTTTCCACTTGATGGTGAAACATTCATGGACCATTTCTGGGAATGCGAGGAGCGTGTTCTTCACAGCCTACGCAGTGTTTGTCCGGTACCATTTTGAATATCTCATCGCACAGTTTCTGTTTTGTGTGGGACCTAACAATAATTTTTAGGCAGCAAGAGAATGCAGCATGCTTTTCTACAGAGAAGATTTTAAGCCCCTGGGAAATTCCCTAGTTTTAGTAAAGCCAAGATTTGGTATTTTAAGTAGTTGCTGCTGTTAAAACTTCGCTACTAGACTAGGAATGCTGTCTTTTGAGACAACATCGGAGTAATTTATTGGGGACTTTCCTAGACGGTTGTGACACTTCGAAATACACCCACAGTGAGGTTTGTATTTGTGGAAATCTGCCTGATAAGCCGCCAGGTTCTCAAGCCTCAGCTTTTTGCTAAGCTGCGGAATGATTGGGCTCCATACCTACCAAAACCATTTTCCTCTTCCAAAACAAGTGTCAAAGGTTGCCTGCTACTTGCACGTGGACTGTTGCAGTCGGTTTGTGTACCGACCTGTGCTGGCCAGCACTTGTCGGTGCCTTTGCGAACATGTGATGGAGAAAAGTTCTCGTTATTTTTATCCGAAACACAAGAACAAGCAAGCAAAACATACTGCAAGGTACTGGGCAAAGGGTGGCATTTTTGGCTCTCCTGTTTGTGTGTGTGTGTGTATATGTATATGCATATATATGTGTGTATGCATATGTATATATACAGAGAGTGAGTGGGAATGTTTATGTATTGGTTTGATGAACTTAACTGGAGCTAAGAGTTTGTTGAAAAAAAATTAAAAGTCTGTATTCAAAGACTCCCATCTCTCAAACATGTGTGTATTTGGAGTATATACATGCAGTTGCAAAGGCACCCAAACTTGAAAACACTCGGAACTACAACTGTCATGTTGTAGGGGAACTGCATCTGTTTGAGCATAAATAAATGCACAGTATTCATTTGAACTAATACAGGGTTTTGATGCATAAGTGCAATTAATTTCTTGTGTGTGTTCTTCCACAAGAAAAACCGAAATGAGATTAGCTTTCTTTAACTGGGTAGCCACAGTAATATATTTTATATAAATGAGTATAAATACTATTTTATTAGGCAAGTCACGTGAACACCCAAATACTATGTGTTTTTATATATGTATACATATATGCATATTTTAGAGAGATATATATGTGCTTACTGAAAACACACTGGGTTTGGTTTAATTTTTAGTAACATTACATTCCTCTTGTTTCCATATATAAAGGGACACTTTGACCATAGAAAGTCCACTCTTAACTGAACCTCAAAGAGTGCACGTGCTACCAATAGTTTTCAGTCCAAATATAAGACGAGAAACTTCCTGGGAGCAGAGGAACGGTATGACCTGATGAATCAGTGCAACTGCTGAGAATCACGACAAATTAGGTAGTTCAGCTGTTGTCATTTGATTTTTTCCATAGGAGAGTTTTAAGTGGAAATGGGACGTTAGCTGGGCTCACCAGTGTTTGCGGGGGACTGTTTCTAAACCTGAATGGTGGCATTGGAGAAAGCAGGAATATACATACTCTAAAAATGGGTGAAAAATTCCAGGATCATGGCAGAACTGAAAGCAGGATTTGGCCTTTTGACTGGAGGTAAGTAGGGAGCATAAATGTCATTTAAGTGAGAAAGCAGACATTTCTGGTTTTCAAAGCACAGTTAGTCCTGCCAGCCTGACTCTTCTCCTGGCACCCCATCCCAGCTGCGGAGAGACCTGCTCCAGAAAGGACACAGCTCCTCGCAGGTCCCACTGCTCTTCCCGATGAAGGTTATTTATAAATCCCCGTGCCGCGAGAGCATGCCACCTTCCCGGGGAAATGAGCATCCTGCGCAAAGGAGGTAGACCGAGAGCTTGTGCTTGCCCCTCGCCGCTTCTGAGCGTTCGCTTTGCTTGCGGAGGGCAGAGGCACACGTGCACCTCTGAGGAGAAAACGGTTGCCCACGTCGCCTGGCCCAAACAATCGCACCGGGGCTTGTTACTTGGCCGTGAGAAGCTTTATTTGAAGTAGATAGGTGCGTCTTTACATGACGATATTTTACTGGCTTACAAAGATGGATGTCATGACATACAATAGCTTCAATCAAGGACAATTTAAAGCGCGGACTGAAGAGGCGCTTGTGTTGTACGGCACAGGGAGTTCACCAACAGGTGATGTGTAACTGCAACCAGGAGCCGTTGTCCCCCCAGCGCTCTCCTGGGAATTTATGCTTTTACCTGGAAGAACAAAGTTGGGAACCGCCGCTAAGGGAAAAAGCAGTGCTGTTCGAGCTCCCTGTGCTTATTTGCCATCAAGCTACAGCTCGTCAGTCAGGTCGTCTGCAGAGATCCTGCCTGCTTTCTGCACGCCTGCGGTTGCACGAGCTCCTCACCCTTCTGCAGAAGTTCGGGAGAAACCCGAAATACACTGTGTTAGAGGGGTTTGGCTCACAAGGGGTTTTGAGCTACGAGGGTCACTGCATGGGTTTGCTAAGAACATCTGGGTTCGCACCACGTGCGTATATAATCTGTACGACTATACGCAAGGACGGTAGTGTTGTGTGACCGCAATAAGGATACTTACTGCCCTTAGATAAAAATGCAGTTTTCCTTCCTTAGAAGACAGTATGGCAGTAGGCTGCAGTCCAGGGTGAAGCAAGAAATACTTGCAATACTGCGCAGTGGTCCCTCTCTGCAGGGAAAGCCATCGGGGTCCCGGTGTGCTGCCAACGCCGCGCCCGCCCTGCTGACGAAATGCACCACGTTCCTCCGTGGCGGGAGACGCGTGGGGGGACCACCGGCTGCATCTATTCATTTTGTTTAGATTCGTGGGCGCGTTTTTAACCTCGAGTAAAGCTTTTAACTCCCTCTTTCGGCAGGAACCAGCATTGCCTCTCTCTTCCTTCCCCTCTCCCCCGC